AAATTTTTTCAATTAAATGAATTGTAAAACTTGAATTATATTGTACAAATAATATAAAATCATCACATATATAAAAAAATCTACACTTTTTAAACGCAATTAATATAAAATTTCAAAAGTTTATATTCGTATGTTCAGGGTTCATTATAAAGAAGTTCGTTATCATAAGTTTCAATTGTAATTGGATTTATAAACAAATCTGTATTCATGAACCAAATTAGCACAGATAAATAATCTGAATGAGGCTATAAAATATTAGAATCATACAAGTTAGATAACAAAATATACCAGTATGCCAAATACTCTTACTTATTTACAGTAAACTTTTGATATAGTGAAAAGTTTTGAATTGTGGAATTACTAAATTTCAATCATATCTAGTAAAATATGCCTAGTACTTTCTTGATGTAAGTTATAGTGTGGAATTTTTTCTAACCTGAGAACTTCATTATAGTGAGTGATTTGTAATCATATTTTCTTGTATTTCTATATACAAGATTACCATTTTTCATTTATTATAAAATGTACCTATGGTAGTTTTGCATCTATTATATATTTTTATTATGATTGTTAGATTTTTCTAAGTTTTTATAAGTATTGTATATAAAATTTCTAACACAAAATTTTCATGTTGGTGTTAATTTTTATGGTTATGATTTGGTTTGGCAAGGGCTTTACACTGGTGATTATAAGTAATGCAACAAAAAAATTCTACCTAGATCATGCAATTCTGAACATATCAGATAGTTTTTTTTATTTTATTCTCTATTAGTTCCTTTTCCTAATTTTAGAATTTTAATAATCATCATTAATTCTGATGCAAAAATAATCACATGCATATCACAAAACATGTGTCGTATTACTTTTGTTTGTTTTTAACAAAGATCAGATTATATAATTTGTACAACATAAATCAATATAAAAATATCAATCTCATTGTCAATTTTATATCTTATACAATGCTAGAATTGATTGATAATCAAAAAAAAGATAGCAGAATAACTTTTACCAAACAAGTTCAAGTATTATTCTCACTTCAGAAAGAATAGACAACAAGAGCAGTAGGTCAAGCTCATAATATTTCTTTTTCTACAGTTTTACAAATTAAAAAAGATAGTCAACAAACCACTTACTTGAAGATTTGGCAAGAGTTGGTTACCTAACTTCATTGCATAAACTAACTAAAAGAAGAATAGTGAATCTTATTACCTCCTGTAAGTACTCTACCACCATTAAAATAAGGGCTTATCTCACAAAAAACAAAAATATAGATATTTCATGTCTACTATTTGTCATATACTTTGAAACAACAGTTTAGTGTTAAAGATAAAAGAAAAATCATATCTGAATGACAGTCATCAAAAAGAGTGATTTACTTTTGTAAAGAAATATGAAAATTAAACTGTTGATGATTGGTCTAAGGTAATCTGGTCTGATGAATCAACATTTAATATTTTTAGGTTAGATGGTAAGCAATACTATTGGAAGAATTATAGAGAACATTAAACAAGTTCTACATGAAGTTCACTTTAAAATACAGAGGTAATTTAATTATAATTTGGAGATGCTTTAGTGTCTATAGTGCCAGTAGCTAGTACAAAGTCAACAGCATGATGGATAGTAACTTGTATTAGCAAATACTTTATGAAAACCTAATGTAGATGATCAGAGAACAAGAATTTGATGTTAGGGAAATAACTTCTAACAAGATAGAACATTTTATTATATGGTGATCTTGATGAAATATTTGCTTATGAGAAATAAGATTAAGTTCTTTAATTAGCCCCAATCCCAGACCTGAACCCAATTGAAAACCTGTAAGATGAAATTTACTGTTAGTTGAGGATCTTTCTAGACAAATTTCAAGTGAGACAGATCTTTGGCAAAAGATTCAAGAGGTCTAACCTGCAGAAGGCTAGTTCGTTCAATACTAGACTGAATTTGTGCTGTAATTAGGGCTTGGAATAAGTACACTTGATGGTAAAGATGAAGAATTTTTAAATAGAAAAAAATTTTATTTTTATTATCTAAAAAAAAATTTTTGTTTACAGTCATGTTGCTGTTAAAACAAGCAAAAGTAATGCAACATAGCATTTAAAATAAAGCTCATACCTGTGAAAAATTTTGTTTATTAAATTTTTTTAGTTTTTTTATTGATGAAAATGTTGGTATTAGTGAATAAAATAAAAAAAAAACTATCCAATATACCCAGAATTGCATGAGGTAGTATGATCTAAGTAAAATTTTTTTTGTTGCACTACTTACGATTGCCAGTGTAGGAAAATAGAAAATTTTTACTTAAGGCTCACACTGATTAATTGGCCAGTTTTAAAGATCATATATACATAGGTGTAAAACACCATAGGTGCGTTTTAGTAAAGTCTTATAATTTGTTGAAAATACTGTATAAATAGCAAACAAATAAAAGGAAAAAAATCGTATACAGGTAACTTTTTATAATAAACAATTCTTATAGTAAAATTTTAAAAATTCATTGTAGAAGTAATTTTCTATGTTCCTATACCGCTCTAAAATAAAATTTAAAAAAAGTTTATTATAGAGTGAGCTCTTTATAAAAAGGTCAATATAAAGAAAGTCGCATAGATGTGTCAAAATAAAATGAGATCGAAAGTCGAATTTCCGTAAAAGTGCCCCAATTGGTGGTTAGCGATTTGATGTTTACGATACATACATAGTTCGTACTGTATTGATCTTTACTTCACATTCTATACAATCCAGTACGAAATTATCTTTATATATATGTATTTTCGCACTGTATCGTACCATTTCAAAATTTTATAAAATACAGTACTAAATTATCTTCCGCACAGTATACTATATATGTATATTCACCAAAGTTTGCTTCAGGAACACCGGAATGCTATATTCAATTGGCAACTCAATGTATGAATGCTAATCCATTAGAACTTCCAACTGCAAACTTTGTTCAAGAAGAATTATATAAATGGAGCTTGATAGTAAATAAGGAAATCTTTGATGATGAGAATGATAGTGATTATAAGATTACTGATGAGATATATGATGAAGATACCAGTAATATAACTGACAATGACGAAGAAATCACTGACAAGATTAACAATTATAAAGGTACCGATAAAGGACCGAGGATGAGATTAATGATAATGTTAGTGAAAGTAATACCAGAAATGTTAATAATCTAGATTGTGATAATAATTATTTAGATTGTTTAGACGAAGATGAAACAAAATAGTTAGTGCATTTAAGGCTGCTGATGAAATTATTCCTACTTTATCAACTAAGTCAAAAGAACAGGATCTTAATGAGATGCCATTAATTTGCCAGAGAAATTAAATTTATTAAACTTAAATGCTGGTGACTTTTTCATCTATATCTATGTTTATTTATTATATGCATTAGATATGTTATTTTGTTCATTTACTTGTTTTTTACTTAGATTCTCAAATACAAAACTTAATATTTGATTTATAAGCTGAATGCAAAAATACTTATTTTAATCTGACGATTGTGTTATGATTTTGTTATGACTATTTTTTATAATTACTGTAAATCCCAATTGATTTTAAATCTTTAATTAATTTCAAATCTTAAATATAGAACTATTTTAATGTTTATCGGATATAAAATTCACTTGAAATATTATTTTTTAAAAATAGCTTTAATAATTGATATATGGTGTACTAAGTAAAATGTTTAGCACCCTAAAAATCCTAAACTATAATACTACCTTAGACATTAACCCAATCTTAATGTTTAATTTTAGCTTACATAAGTGAATTTCACTTCCGGTAAATTCTTAGATTTAAATTGATCTAAATTATTATTACTGAATTTAAAGCTAATATTATATAGTAAATTATAAACATATTCTTATGCAAATTATAAATAACATAGCATAAGATGTAACAAATATTATATAATGACTCAATAAGCCAATTTGCAACCCTTAACCCGGGATCGCAGCTACGGTGTATCATAGGTATTCAAAGTGACATGATTTGTGGTTTTGTTGTTGTTTCAATGTTTTACGCTAATTAAAAATTAGTTCTAAGAAAAGTATTGCAATTTGTTCTAAAATAATAGTTATGATAGGCTATTAACGGGTGCATTATGCATAATCATTAACACATTTTGTTTCGATAATATGTCTAAGCTAATGATGCGGGGGATTATTTCACAATTGTGAAAATAATTCCCCTGCATCATTAGTCTAAGCTGAATGATGTTCTAAAATGTGTTGGCTTGTGTCGCAAATTCTTGAATTATGAATCAGATTTCGAAATCAGACATTAATTTAACAATAGGGAAGACTCAAAGCAGGTGTTCGCTTTGTCAAAGATTGCTTATTTCTCAAAAATTTACATAAAAAGACACCTTAGTACTTCAATAAAAAGTTTTCTCAGAACGATTTTGTTATAAGAAAACTTTTTGCTGTAACACTAAAGGTTTCTTTTGATGTAAATTTTTGAGAAATAAGCAATCTTTGACAAAGCGAACACTTTAAGTTTTCCGTTTTTCGACTTAGTTGGATCGACGTAATTTTGCAGATCTTTTTTCTGAGTCCCGTGATCTATATCTAGATTGTTTGCTTTTTTGGGGGAACCATAACTTACAACACAAACCCTAGATTGTTTACTTTTTTTGGAAAAGCCATTGCTTACATATACGTATATATATATATATATATTTATATTTTAGTGCCGAAAGTCAAAAAAAAAGAAAGCGTTTAATTTTTAGATTTTCTAAAATTCAACATAACCACTTTAGTATTCATGTGTATTCACGATATATACGTTAGTAAAGGGAGCCTGAAGAAATAGTTTAATGAGTTTCACAGAATATGACGAATAAAAGATCTGCAAAATTCGTCGATCCAACTAAATCAAAAAGAGCTAATTTCGAAATATGATTCATGGTTCAAGAAATTTGTGCCCAAAACTAGCGCATAGATTAGTGATGCAGGGGAATGATTTCCACAACTGTGGAAATAATCCCTCGCATCACTAGCTTATACACAAAATGCGTTAATTGATTATTCATTGATGCACCCATTATCAGCCTATCATAACTATCATTTTTGGAACAAATGTCCCAAATCAATAAGCCGCTAAACCACTAAACCGTTAAAACACAGAATTAAAATATTTATTGCTAAATTTGGTAATAATTTCTTCTATAGAAATAATTTTTAATTTGTATAATACTAAAAACACAAACATTGAAGCACTAAAACAACAAAATTATGTCACTTTGTCTACCTATGGTATACATACGTACTTAGTACGTACGAATGAATATCCAATTTATTATTGATTATCAACACACCTTTTATCAATGATTTTTTTTTAGAAACTACGTTCAAAGGTATCATTTATCATGGAATCGAAAATTGAAGGAAAAATAGAAATTGCACACCTACAAGTTTTATAAGTTTATATATTTACAGTTCCAGATCATTTTATGGTATTTGGCTTTTACAGAATTTACACCCAATGTGACAATTCTTGTAATTCAGTCACAAGTCACAATGCCGCAATTTAATAATAATTCTAATAACAACTAAATGGGCACGCATTCAGTTTTAAGATCTAAAATTTAAATAACATTTTATATAAATTACAAGTAAATCTAAGTGTTAAACCACATAAGAGAGAATGAATAAGATAACTAAATATATTTTAATCTATGTACTTTAAATATTCAAACAATAATATTATACTAAGTGATAAGACAATTTAGCACTTTTTTTCTTCCCGATCTGAAAGTTTTTTCTCGCGTTATAATTTCATCACCCCTTGATTGCCTTATCGATCTAACTACACTATAAAATGCCCGATCCACATTTATACCAGTTCTTGAAGATGCTTCGATGAAATCACATTTTAATCGCCTTGATATTACCATACCTTCTTCTTTTGCAATTTCTCTTTCATTAAGCTTATCACATTTGGTGCCAACAAGAATCATGGGGACACTTTCAGTATCTTTGACTCTTAGAACTTGATCATAATATCTATATACTCTTTCAAATGTAGGTCTTGATGTAGTCGAATATAAAAGGACGACACCTTCACAATCTCTATATTTTACAATTAATATTTAGTAAAAAAAAAAAAAGGAAAAATCGATATCGATATATAATTAAAATATACCTGATCCCTTGATCTCGCAAAGTAGTGAACTCATCTGTGTGGATAATGATGGTTAATTTTATGTTTCAATATAAATATATGAAATCATAACGTCATGCGGTAGTATGTATGTTTAAAAGGAATATCGATTAAATGAGGCTCATTTAATATTCTCAAAGGAAGATACTTTGGTCCGCGAACTACTGCATATGGATTGTAAATAATCATAATACGTAAGTACCTTGCCCGGCTGTATCTAATACTTCAAGCATACATGGACGACCATCAATGACAGCCTGTTTACGATATGAAAATTCTACTGTTGGATCGTAATTCTGGTTTAAGTAATAATAAAGAATTAAAAGTTGGGAAAATAACTGTTGATGAAAATGGAAGAACCCTATGTAAATACCTCTATAAGTCAGTTTAATAAATGATAGATAAACAAACAGGAAATCTAATTAATGAACTGTTAACATTATTAAATAGATTATTTGAGTGCCGTCAAGGGAAAACCCGTCATCGGCCAGTTTGTTTACTGAGTGTCGTCTAGGGAAAATCTATCACTGGGCATCTAATTATATTTGTGGCGAGTTATAACAAACTATAATTTAAAGCCCGATGATAAATTTTCCATAGACGGCATTCAATAAACAAACTGAACATTGAAAGCCCGATGACAGCTTTTACCCTTGATGCACTCATTTGAAGATGAAAAATTACCAGGAAAACAATTTAAACAAAACTACGGCCAATGACAAATTTTAAAAATATACATATATTAGAATAATAGAGATTTCAAAAGTTTAAATAAATATACGTATACACATACTTGCATAGTTAGCGCAGTCTGAAATAAATAAAATATTAATATTCTAATATTATAATGACTTGAATGCAATTAACTATTTAAATACCTTCCCAGTGTCGCTATCGCCGAGGACGACAATCTTATAAATTTGCATATTTTAATAATTTTTCCGATACAGTAAAAAAGCTAAATATATATAATTGAGGTTTTAATATGTAGCGGTAATATTTATAAGTTGATTCATTGAAAATTTTAAACCTTTATAAGGTTTTATAAGCCGCAGACAATCAATATTTACATTATCGCTATACATTTATTTATTTAATTTGTAATTGATAAATATTACATCGTGATAAAGTTTTAACATCACTTTATATAATTCCTAATATGATGAATTCTTGGCTGAATATTGAATACCATTTTTGAATCTTTGAATCTTTGTTAGACTTTATATTCATGATAAGGATTTGCCATTAATGGCTGCTTTTATAATTCGCTTATAACTTTTTGACCAATAGGACCAATAGGACCAATAGAAACAATAGGAAGTAAGCTATTTGAAACTGTTGCACCAAACTTTTGCATGTTTGTACATATGTATGTACGTACACAATGACTAACGATGTTACCCAAATATTTAACATGGTCTCAAAAAAGTTATCACATGATTTTTGGGACGTCCCAATTAGCGATGCTACCCAAACTATTTGGACGTCCCAAACTATGTGATGAATAGCATCATACGATTTCAGGAATAACAATAAGGAGATGCGATATTATTCATCACATAGTTTGTGATGTATCAAATAGTTTGGCTAGTCCCAATAGTTGGGTAATACGTACTGTAAATATTACTAATACAGTGATAATGATAACTTTTATGTAAAATATTCCGTGTTCTCAGATTGTTTATTATAGTTATTATGACATGTCAAAATATTTGTTCAGTTGATCATAATATTACTGGACAAATGCTGTGTCCAAAGTTAAATTTATTAAAATTTTAAAAAAATAAAATTAATTTCGTCTTACAGGCAAATTTGCTTGCAAGTAATCTGTGATGGAACTATCAAATTTTATTGGATTGTAGCCTATATCACCACATATTCAAGCTTATAATGTTAGTAGGACCGTTATTTATTTCTAGT